GGAGAGAGAGAGAGAGAGAGAAGAGAGAGAGAGAGAGAGAGAGAGAGAGAGAGAGAGAGAGAGAGAGAGAGAGAGAGAGAGAGAGAGAGAGAGAGAGAGAAGAGAGAGAGAGAGAGAGAGAGAGAGAGAGGCTGGAATTTTGGAGACGTGCGTGCGTGTCTCTGAGGAATGAGGAGTACCTATCTACATCCCCCAGCGATAGGGACACCCGAGCCGTTCATCAACACTAGAAGACACACTTGACCAGGGCTCTTGGCCCTGACCAGACCTCCCTCCTGGGGGTCTCTCCCCACGCGCGCGCGCTCGGCGCCTTTAGGGCTCCCCTTTGCACCAGCACGACACAGCCACACCACATTACCTACCCCTCCTATCAATAAACAGCTGAACCAGAATTGTCTCTCCATAATCCACCAAATCAGGGCTAACACTAAACCCTGACAACTGGTGGCAAGCGGCGGAATGACACGAACAACAAACCTCTGTAAAAACTGTAAGGACACCATAGGCAATGATTTCCTTTTCTTTCCCCTTTCTTCACCTATGTGTGCATGCCGTGCACTTTTTTTTTTTACAAGAGCAGTGATTCTTTGTTTTCAAATATTTGAAGTGCCCGTGCAAAGTGCATTTTCTTCTCTTTGTCTCTTCTCTGTATCTACTTTGTTTTTTCTCGTCACGGTAGATCGTCGCTTTTTTAATGGAATCAATCACTTGCGAGAGTGCATTTTCTTTCTTTGGCGCGTTTTTCTTTAAATCTAACTCGATCATGCTAGCCTAATTAGCATAAATCGCTTATAATGCTTAAATATTTTATTCATGTGGGTGAATATATTGTGCATTTTCTCTAAATTATCATCTATTTCTACGGACATTATAGGTCACGTGACTAGTCCTAAGCATTGCTATATTTTCGACATTTTTTTTATTCTCATTATCTCTCACTGTGTTAACCGATGCCATATCGACGTTCAGTTTGCATATTATTACTTAGTGCATTTATTAGGCTTGGTTTAACTATGCAATTGTGGGATATTTTTGAATATTTAAATAATTTAGTTGAATTATGCACAAACAAATATAACACATCTACCCCCACTCTTACCACCTACCCCAGTCCCCCTAATCTCCCTCTCCCCTAAACCCCACCCCCACTATCTCCCCTCCCTCTCTACCTATTTTCAATATTCTGTTCAGGCCACTAGCGTTAAATTATATTATACCGCAAGATTTTAAGCAAAATAAAAGAATGCATTCAATATAATTTTCATATTACATACCCTAGTCTTAATGACTATATATTGACCGCGAGTGACCTTTCTTACTGACCTTTATAATCTCTATAAATCCTTGGGTCAAATTATCCGATTTGTTATATAAGATTACAATTCGAACGTTTGAGATTTTCTTTTCAAATCTATATTTATTCTTGAAAAGTGTGCCTTGTTCATTTGTATGTTTATATGAATATCAACCAGTATTTTTACGTATAAAGTGTTATATTCGTTGTCTAGTGCGAGTGACTTCACACATAGCTTTTCAGGTAATTCTAGGTCAGGTCTTGTCAATAAATGACATATCTCACCTTTTGTGACCTGTCTTAGTACTATTTTCCACATTTTAATTTCTGAAATTTAATTTCATTTATATGACACGACAATTTACAATAGAGTGATGAATTTACTTCCAGTTTGCATGAGTATATTGGGAACTGTAATAATACTAGCAAAATTCATCAAATTAAATCATATGATTTTTTCCTTAATTATTCATGGTCATTTATTGGCAATTTGATTATTCAATTTCTACATTATTGTGTACTTATTTTTTCTCATTATTTAATTTTACATATACTAGCTATTGCTATTTTTACCTCATTTGACCTTACTCAGGTAGAAGGTACTTATAGCCATCTGACTCTGCTCGACCCAAAAATGCATTTAAGCTATTTGTATCCATATCTTATTCAATGATCTCTGTGTTAGAGATTAATTATATTAGACAGCTACTATGATTTCATATTGTTCGTGATTTTCGCTCTCATGAGTAATCACTAAATGCGAAACTACCTTGGTTATCCTAACGAATTTCCACCTCTTTTCCATCTCTTTCCCTTCATATGATGATCGTTAGTATGCCGACCTAATTTTCGAAACATTTTCTTCATTAATCAATCTTAATCACGAACCTCACCTCATCATTATTACATGGTCCTTGGTGACGACCCCCAGCTGGGTATGGGCATGTAATTAGGATAAGGGGACCGTCCCTGAAAAATCGCCAATTTACGATTTTTGTTCAAAAATAGAAAACATTCTTACAGATTTTCATGAATTTTGGTAGGATGAAAGAGTACTTGAATACCCCTCTTTTGACCAATTTTTAAAATTTTGGCCAAAGGGAATTTAAGCGCTATTAAAAATCAATTTTTGATAGATAGGTCCCTTTCTACCAAGTCTCACAATTATCATCCGTTTTCTATGTGCTTTCTATTGAGAAAACCTTTAGAACATGCAAAGAGAACAACGAATTCGAATTTGGAAATTCCGTTTAGTTTCCGAATTATTGCCTGTAATATAATCGGCAAAAAAAATTAAAAATCGGGGTTTTAAAAATTTCTTAAAAATTTAAAATTTTGATTTTACCAAATCCCATGAATAAGCAAATAATTGACCTTAAATTTTTTTTAGAAAGTTTTTGTTCATTTTCTATATTTTTTCGTCTTATTATAGTATGTGCCTATAGACCAAAAGGAAGGCCAGACATTGTTCTTTCTTTTGTTTTATATTTCATTCAGATCGGATAAGTGATTAATGAACAGCATCAAAAAATGTAAAAAAGTATGATGAAAAAATCCCCAACTGACGCCGCCATGCGGCCTACTAAATGCTGTGGCAAGCCCTGCGATCACGCGAGCGCAAGTTTGAACTTGTTCGCCTGCCTTCAGCCGTCCTCTACGCTTCACCTCATACTAACAAACAGGGGCGCACGCACATATGTGTATTGTGATATGAGGAGAAGAGGACCACTGGAAGCATGGCCAACAAGTTGTGACATGCACGCGCAAGTGCATTTATATAGACCAAAAGGAAGCCCAGACATTGCTCTTTCTTTTGTGTTTATTTCATTCAGATCGGATAAGTGATTAATGAACAGCATAAAAAAATGTAAAACAATATTACCAAAAAAATCCCCAACCGACACCGCCATGCGGCCTACTAAATGCTGTGGCAAGCCCTGCAATCACGCTCGCGCATGTCACAACTTGTTGGCCGTGCTTCCAGTGGTCCTCTACTCTTCATATCACACTCCAACTAATAGCGCGCACTCACGCGCAGTTATACACACATGCGCGCGCACTCATTCATTCAAACGCACGCGCTCATACTCCCGCGAGCAATCATAGTCGCACACACACAAGAACACACATACAGAAGTGCACATACACACAAACATACATGTGCACATGTGTGTGTGCTGTATGATTACCTCGGCACATGTCTGAACTCGCACTCCTGTCTTCAGCCGTAATTCATATTCTACATCACCCTCCAGCAAATACGTGCAAGCGCGCATGCGCGTAAATACAAATACACGTGTACACAAGTACTCACTAACACGCATTCACACTTATACAAATGTCGAAATAAACAACTGATTTTAGGTAAATGACCTTGAAAGTGTTTAGAAAGTTTTCGTTCATTTTCCATAATTTTCGTTCAAATATATTATGCGCATATAGTCCAAAAAGAAGCCCAGACGTTGCTCTTTCTAATGGTCTTTATTTCATTCAGATCGGATAAAGGGTTAGTGAGCAGCATAAAAAAATGTAAAATGGAGTGGCGATGACGTCATCCCGCCGTGCCGCCGCGCCGCCATGCGGCCTTTTAAATGCTATGGTTACCCCTGCGATCACGCGCGCGCAAGTTTGAACTTGTTCGCCTGCCTTCAGCCGTCGTCTAAGCTTCACCTCATACTCTAAGAAACAGGCACGCACACACGCGCGCGCGGGCGCACGCACATATGTTGTCACAATCGCGCGTGCGCACATGTATGCACGCAAGTGCGCGTGCGCGCGCATGTACACACATAAGGCCACACGCAAAAGTGCACGTGGGGTACTCTCAACACTTTTGCACGAGCTCACACACAAACATACACACACGCTCACGCGCGCGCATACACATAATTGCAGATTTGACACGAAGACATGGTAATCGATAGCTAAACAATATTATACAACCCTGAGGTTTCAATGCAGTACGTGTTTTGCAGGTAGGCCTACTCAAACAGTCATGTATGCCTACTAAAGCAAAAGCAAAAAAAAAAAAAAAAAAAAAAAAAAAAAAAAAAAAAAAAAAAAAAAAAAAAAAAAAAATCTTTATTTCATCATAAATTATATTGTATCATTCATGAATTGACAAAAGGCGTAACAATCATTATTTGAACTGATATCAACATGTAATTACTCTATCATAAGCCGGAGGAATGGTCGGAACGAGTGTAAAGGCCATTTACCTCAAATGAGCGAAAATGCACTTGCACCCCATGTTGCTTATGCCCTTGTTACACCAAGAAATAGTTCGAGATGGAGTCTAACAATCGAAGGGCAGTTTCCTCAAACATGTAACAATACGATAGGACCAAAAACAAAATTCAAGTACCCCGACCCCCTATGGCCAGGGACGGTCCCCTTAAGGTAATTAATGTTAAGTTGTTCTTGTGCCACGCCACACACTTATCGCCCAGGCGATCTCAGCACCACG